AGCAGGCGCCCTAGAAGATCAAGAGAGATTGGAAGACCAGCTGGACAGCCTTATGGAAGCAAAGAACAAAGCTGAGCAAGATGTCGAAAAATACCGTGCACAGCTTGAACAGGCTGCTTCTCTCATCTCTAGGCTGGAAGAGGAAAAGACACGCTTGTCGGCTAGAGCAGCGGAGCTGGAGACTGCTATTGACAATCTCACTCAAAAGCAATCTGAGCATAGTGACAAGGAGGCCGCCATGGAAGGTGAAATCAAGATGCTCCAGAGTCAATTAGCTCTAAAAGATCGGAAATCCAAGGATCTAGAGGACAAGTTGCTCAAAATCGACCAGGATCTTGAGGTCAAGTTATTCACAGCGCAGAAAGATCTCGATGCAGCCAAAATGCGAGAAACTCGACTGGCCCGAGAGAACCAAGAGGTACACGAGCAACTTGCCGAGCTCTCTAAGACTTCAACAGATTACGAAGATCTTGTCCGGTCAAAGGAGAGCGAACTAGCATTGCTACGTGATGATAAAAGGCAGTCAGAAGCTGAACGCCGAAGCCTTGAAGAACAGAAAAGGGCTCTCACGGAGGATATGGAGAAAAATGCTGCAAAATTCCGTGATGTTCAAGCAGAACTTGTGGCATTGAAATCCAAGCAGATGCAGTTAGAACGCGAGGCCCAAGATGCCAAAGTTTTACTCGAAACTAGGCTGTCTGAAGACGCACAAGCTGAGAAGAACCGAAAAGTCCTCGAGTCTCAAATCAAGGATGTTCAGGATGAGCTCTATCAGACGAAGATGGAATTGAGCAGAGAGCGGCAATCCCGAGATGACGTGCTGTTACTTGGAGAGCACAAGTATCAGGCGCTCAAGGATGAATTTGATCGCCTGAACGACGCAAAGATAATCATTGAGAAAGAGATGTATGTTCAGCAAGATACCTTGAGGCGGACTATAGAAGCCCGGGCTGCAATTGAGAAAGAGCGTGACGACGCCAGGGATGAAATTCGAAAACTTCGCATGGCAAAAACGGAGGCTGAAGAGGCTCGTTTGCAAGCTGAAATGGCCGGCGAGCGCCAAGCTTCAAAAGCTGCGAGAGAGAGAGAAGCTAGCCTTCGAAAAGACCTCGAAGCTGCTCAAGAACGCTTGCGCTGGTTCGAGGAGGAATGCAACAAGCTGAACCGCCAAGTCGAAGATCTAAATAAGCTTATTCTTACGTCTGGAGAATTTGGATTGAAAAACGACCAAGCCAAAGAGAGAATGGAGCGGGAGCTCAATACAATAAGGAGCCGGCTGGCGGCATCTGAAAACGACAACAAAACGCTACTCAATAAGCTGCAACAAAAGGGTCTTGAAATTGCTAGATCCAGCTCTCGCGCGACAGAAGCAACTCGAAGCCAGCTTATATCTCTCCGAGGCGAGAAGGCCAAGCTAGAAGATCACAACACAAAGCTCAACAAGCAGCTAGGCGATGCCCAGCTCAGCATAGCAACTTTGGAGAAGAAGCTGGAGAAACTTCATCTCAACTTGGAAGATTTGAATCACGAGGTTGCCAGAGAGGCGAAGGCTAGTAGGACGGCAGAAAAGGCCTCTTCTAACTTTTCCGTTCAGCTGGCGGAAGCCAATCGAACAATTGAATCCGAGAAACAGCTACGGAATCAAACACAGTCGACGGTCCGCACGCTGCAGTCATCAATAGACTCACGGGACAAAGAGCTGGAGGATATGAGAACTCAGATGCTCAAGGCACTCAAAATGGTTGACCCCGAGGTTCAAATGCCGCAGACAAATTCCAACAGCGAGAAAGCTATGCTCAAAAATTTTGACCTTGTTCGCATGGTTGAGGAGCTACAGCAGAAATTGCGAGTTCAAACTGTGGCCAGGACCAATGCGGAAAGCCAGTTGACCGAGATGAGAGCTTTGAGAAACGAGAGTCCCACTCGTCCGGGGCTTGGTGAAATCCATCCAAACGAAGCACCTTTTCAAGACTCTAATGGCCTGAAGAAGACAACCAAAGCAGGCCTGCAGCCCAGCTTGAATGGATTCGCTAACGCTCGACGCTTCCAAGACTCCAATTCTCAAGACTCATCACGCTCTGAAAGATCTTTTGGTGCTTCTGATATCAGAAATGGGTTTGAATTGAAGGCAGAGATCGAAAACCTGCAAAGTCAGCTACAGCTAGCCCAAGTGCGGAATCGACAGCTTCAGAGCCAACTGGATCGGAATTCATCATCTGATGACGCGTATGAAGATGAGGCTTCAATCTTACGTGTACAGAAGCTTGAAAAGGCCAACAATCGTTTGCATGATATGTTGGATGATTCGGTTGCAAAGGTGGCGGCATTGGAAAAGAGTATGCAAGCCGGTGAGCTTTCTTTGCGGGATATCCAAACGCGATCTCATGAGGAGCTGCTGGATATCTTTAACAGCCAAGAAGACGCGCGCAAATCTCTTCTACATAGCCACAAAGATGCCCTCGCAGAATTAACTGAAGTCAAGGCCCATTTCGACAAGATGCGTCACGAGCGGGCGAATCTGGAAGTTGAGCTCCGCGATTCAAAATCTGACCTTTTGGAGATGACTGCTGCACGCGAACAAGAGGCGCAAAGCCGAAGCCAGCTATTACAGGAATTCACCGACCTCCAAATCCGACTTGATGCAGAGACATCCAGGCTCGCCGACGTCTCTTCAAGCTTGGAAATGTATAGAGGCCGAGCCGACGAATATTTCAGCAAGCTTGAACAGGCAGAGATTGCTGTTCTGAAAGCAACTAGAGCAGAGCAGTTTGCCAAATCGCAAGCCAAAGAGGCGGAAGACACATACGCCGAGGTCATGTCTGAGAGGCAACGGATGGATGCACTGGTTGAAGACTTGCAGGGCCAGAACCATCGTCTTGAAGGAAGAGTAGAAGACCTGTCGACTGACCTTGACGCCGCCACGCAAGCTAGGAGGCGTCTTCAGCATGAGTTGGAAGACTATCGCAACCAAAGGGCTATGGAGATTGAGGATAAAGAATCCAGCATGGAGCAAACGCGCAAGAAGTATCAAACTGAGTTTGCCACGCTTGCTAAAGAGCTTGACCTCGCTCGAGAAGAGAAGCTGTTCAAGCAGGCGGAGATTACAAGACTTCGAGACGAGCTCGATGAGCTACGGTCCAAGTGGGATGACGAGGTGCTAAACAGCTCCACTTGGTCGAAAGAAAAGGCTCGACTGGAATCTACCTTGGTTGATGTTGCGTCGTCTCGTGATGAGGCTGTCAGCGCTCATAACGAGGCACAGAGCAAGATTGTTTCCCTCTTATCACAGGTGCGGACTCTACGATCGAGTGTGGACGAGATCACTACCGAGCGCGATCTTCTCATTCGGGAGAAGAAGGGCGTTGAGGCTCGCCTCGAGGAAGCCAAGGCAGGCTTTGACGAGTTGGTCAAGGGCGGAAGCCCATCGCTTCGAGATGCAGCGGGCATGGACAAGGAAATTCTCAACCTCAAGTCTAGCCTTGCTCGGCAAGAAGATATTGCCCTCGCTGCAGTGGAGAAGATGCGACGTGCTGAGGCATTAGTCACCGAGGTCCAGAAAGACATTGCGGGCGAGCGTGAAATCAGTGCGACTTTGCAGAAGCAAAAGACTACGCTAGAGAAGAACTTGAGCGAGGCACAGCTCAGGCTCGTAGATCTGGAAACCAAGGGCTACTCAAGCGGCAGCCAGGACATAAAATTCTTGCACAAACGCATCCAAGAGGTAAGCGTTTTTCTCAGTTCACGTTCTCATCCAATAACAGAAAATTTTAAAATACTAACTAGATTTTAGCTTGAATCACAGCTGGATAGCCACGAGGAGGAAAAGAACAAGTCCCAGCGTTCTGTTCGAAACGTGGATCGTACTGTCAAAGACCTGCAAACGCAAATCGAACGTAAGGATAAGCAAAATATGCAGCTCTCTGATGACGTGAACCGCATGCGCGACAGAGTCGACAAGCTTCTCAAGACAATCGATGAGCTGCAGGCGTCAGAATCCACAAACCAGCTCTCGGCACGACGCGCTGAGCGCGAACTGCGTGAAGAGAAGGAGAAGTGTCACCGCCTAGAGCGAGAGCTGGAGGGGTGGAAAGGCCTCCGAACAGAAAAGGGCGGAGTGGGAAGCGTTCGTGGCAGAGGCGTCACATGGAGAGTGGGGAACGAAGGAGAAGACTCAACGCTGATTGACGTTCCTCAAAGAAACAGCAGCCTGAACAGAGCTCCTAGTATGACCAAAGGCTTCTTATAGGGCGACTTGAGTGTGAATAACGTCTGAGGGGGTGTATAAAGGAGGAGCGAAACTATGGATGAGCAATGGCGTTTTTGTGATAGGTTTGGGGACAGCCTTTGTGTAATTGGGTATCAGCATAAGAGGGAGGACAGGCAGTGTTCATGACTAGCTGCTAATTCTGTATCATATTGGATGCTATGGTTGACGGCTAGGGGATGATTATGTTACATTATATAATTGGTACGATATTAGTTAATGAGAGACGAGGAGAGGTAACAGCAGGACTGTGCTTGGTTTTACAATTAGTACATATAGCCCTGTATCGTATAGTATAATATAGTGAGTGAATGAGTGTAACTCGTTACAAAACGCTTGACTTGAGCCATCCGGTGCCACTTGTAGTACGTGTTCTAGTGTATGCTGCCGAAGCCTGAATTGGAAGTGCGACGCAAACATTTGGCGGCATCGGAATTAGAGATTGATTGCTTTCGGGACGCATCATTCGCAACAATGCCGGGTCGATGAGCATTTAGGGATTGGTTGTTCTTCATAGATCTCGAGTTTCGATGTGGTTGGAGTGATGTTCCACTGGCAAGCTATATAAACCTCCACTACCTGACGGCTGTTGGACCTCTCCAACAGAAAGGGAGCAACAGGACGAAACCCATAAGGAATGATATCTATATATTTATATATTTGCTTTATCGATTATTGAAAGTTTCTACTATCTTTTCTCTTCAATATTCTATTACTCGTTTGAGCACGAAAGAAAATGGCTAGCAATGCCAGAAACCCCAATCACGGCGTCGTGTTCTCCTCTCTTCGGCCTCTTAGAGACCGTCTCATGAGGACGGGTTACGTGCTCGTCTCAGAAGAGCAAGAGTCTGGGTCGGAGTACTCGGGCTCGACATGCTGCTGCTGCTCGAGCTGTGCGTCGAGCTGCTCCTGCGACGAGTATACCGATGATGATGACAGCGAAGAAGAAGATGGTGAATCAGATGACGAGGAGATTGTTTTTGAACAGGCAGAGGTGGTGGAAGAGGAAGAAGGTTATTGGAGTGACTGTTCGGCGTGTTGGGCGAGGAGACGAGATAGGGAGCGAAGGGGTCGTGCGGTTCGGAGATTTGGGAATCGGGTTACGAATGTTGCGAGGGCTGTGGAGGGAAGAGATGTAAGTGGTCTTTGTCTTGTCTCAGTCTTCTGTCCCCATTTCCTGTTATATCTCTTGCCTCTTGTTTCTCTTCTATTTTTTGATCATGAATTTCAAATTACCCCCGATTGTCCTGCTAACTTCAAACCATGCAGTCTATTCAAGTCTATCACCATAACCATCCCTATCAGCGTGAGCAGCATCGTGGACGTAACGAAACTCCACAAGCAAACCGGCGAAATGCCAACCACGTTACCTTTCGAAGCACCAACAGCATCATCAATGGCAGTATCGATAACAACGGCCAAAGTACTGCTGCTGAAACGCCTTCCTTTCGGGGCCTTGTGGATCGAATTGTTTCAACGACTAGACAGCTCCGTCAAGGTCAAGGAGAACAGCCTGTACGCCATCTTAGGTCGTGGGCTCGCGTATTGGAAGATCTTCAAAGAGGCGCAAACGCGGCTGCTGCCTCTGACACCACTGCTGATTCGACAGTGGCTGCCAGAGCTGGACGACAAAATCCAGCTCCTAGGACGGCGGTGGGAAGAGCGGCAAATGTTGCTGGTGACGATGGGAACGGGGCGAGAGAGGCTCAGGCTCAGACGCAGAACCAGGCGCGTCCCCGAAGAGCAACAAGTTACTTCATGTCCGGGGGCAGAAGTGCCTCGAACAATAGACGGAGGAGAAGATGAACTTTTACCGGGATTCGGAGAAAGATGCTTCTTTACAGAAATTGCCAAATTGGGAAAGGTATACTAGTATGTATCTGTTTAGTAGGTTAAAAGGGAAGTATGGTGACAGTAGCACTTCGTATTCATTAATTTGCTGTCGCCGGATGGAGTCGGACTTGATTGAACAATTTCTCCGTCAAGACAGTCACTCATTGGTTAATATACGAAATGCATGGCGAGAATCGCACAATAGACAATAGCAACGGATAGATGAGTCAACAACGGGCTATCCATCTATTTATGGCTACCCAACGAGATGGATATCTGCATGCCATTCCTAACTGAGAAAAAAGAATTCGTATTGGGCGGGATCCTCACTTATACGCGGACAGGCTAAAATGGTTAAAAGATGATGTTGGTGGTGTCTTATCGTCGGATCGAGAAAAAGAGAAAAATGACAAAAAGAAGGGTCTGGCCGGGGATTGAACCCGGGACCTCTCGCAAGCAAGCTGTAGGGTGTACCCTAAGCGAGAATCATACCACTAGACCACCAGACCAATCAATCTTTTGATCAATTGATGAATGAGGCGCCGCTTAATTCAGCATATAGACGCTACCCCAGCATCTACGCGCCCGTCATCGGAATCAGCTTCCACGCCATGACAGGCACGAATGGCTTCCACGTCTAGAATCTACAAGGTCTCCACACCCACTCAGCCGTACTTCGTATAAACGTGCACTTTGTCTCTTCCCGTCCTAGGCTAGCCTCGCAAAGTGTCCGATGCTACGATCATGCCAAGTAAGGAACAGGGACAAGGAAAAAAGGAGATCTCAGACACGGTCGCAGCCAGCCGCTTTTGGGCCCCAACGCCGCGATTTGAGGAAAACAAAAAGGGGAGCGATGTCGCGATGCTATTCGCCGCCGCCTTCTTGTGTTGGGAGCGCCTTTTTGCCCTTACAGACTATAATTCAGCGCCAACAAAAGACAAAAACAACACGAAACGAACCTTGTCCGGCAGCAAGCAGCCCGCTAGAAAACGCAAAACGATAGGCCACGACAGTGTCGCCCTGATCACCTTTATTCATATTCTCTTTCTGTTGCCCGAAGCACTGACACTTGCCTAGTGGTTAGGTACAAGTAATAATCTAAAAGAGAAGCAACAGGTGGCACCTATACGAGTTGGACAGGGTACTGTACACGCTCTAAATTTTCTTCTTCTTCCCTCTTTCAACATTAGGCACAGGCCGCAGCCGCCCCTCCACGAGAAACAAAGGCCAGCTCGCGATATTGATGTGGCTCGGTTACTAAGCCGAAAAGATAAGAAGGACCCTTGCCAAGTGCCCTTTGTTGATGCATGCGCAGAGAGCTAGGCTTTTAAAGCCCGGTCCATCATGCTCCCATGTTAGCCTGATGGATGGCGTTGACTGGAGACGTTTCGGCTTGACCAGTGGGACTAAGGTAATGACACGAGCCCTGTCATCGTCGCCGGCCAATGGCTTTGAGCTTGATCTCGTATCCCGAGAGAGTCTGGCAGGCAGGGTCGAAGGATTTCCGGGCTAGCAGCACTCGCAGTGTACAAAAAGTCCAGGTCCGAGGAACGAGAGATGCCAGAAAGAGAGAGGGCCGAGAGACAGGGACGCAGGGAGGCGGGGGAGGGAAAAAAAAATGGAGGAGAAGAAAATGAAAAGACGTCTTTTTTTTTCTCGTGATCCTCCTATGCGAGGCCATGGGAAGCGAGATGCTGTCACACCGTGTCTCGCAGCCACTGATACATGTGCATGCTGCGTGATATTCCAGAGCTCGGGCAGCTCCCTTGTCTGATGCCGGATTGGAGGAAGAACCTGGGATGGGATGGGTTTGGGCCTCTGGTACCTTTTGGCTGCGACTCGACATATAATTCTCGTATCAGCCCGGCGTATCCGTCTGCCAGCCCACCCTCGCTCTTTAAAACAAAACAGGCCAATGCTCTGCAGAGACAATAAGCGCTTATGAGAAACAATTACTACTACTGTTTTCGAACTACCACTATCCGCAACGTAGTAGGCACGCAGCGCGCTGAGCTTTTCGACCCACCGCTGCTGATGGATTGAGGCGATACCCGAATTGCGTTGTCTTTAAGCAAAATAATCACACTATTACTTACACAGCCTCTCGTCAGCTCCTGTGGCTGGATTCTCCGCGGGTTTGAGTGGCTTCTGCTGTCTCTCTTTCCCTCGTGTTTTTTTTTCTCGCCTTCTTTTTTCTCTCACTCCCATTTAGATCATTCCGCCAAGCCTTTGGCTTTGACTTTCTGTCCAATAGCCTTTGCCACGCTATCACGACACTCGTGCCTGTTGGTGCACTGAGAAGCGTGAGGGTATCCCGGACTTCTCTCCGCTTTGTTCATTTCGTTTCTCAGTATACTTCAAGTACGACTGAGTACTGTAGTTCGAAATGCGCAGTAGAAGGCTGCCCCTTGTGGCGGCTCCCTTCATCTTCCTGCTGGTGCTGGCGAGTCTATACCTTGGGCGAGATCGTCTGTCTTGGTTCCCGAGCTCTCAGAGACAGCCGATACCACTAAAGCAGCTCACTCAACAGGCGGTGGCAGATGGTAAGAAAAGATCAGTTCCCTCAAAGCAGATGGATGTGAGGTATAAGTCGAGAGAGAAAAAGACACTGACCGGTTAGGCGCCGTTCTTTCATCGGCCAACATCACCGAGTATCTCCAGGCCATCTACCATGTGAAGCCAGATACCAGATTGGCACCTCGCCTCGAGTGCCCGGCTATCAACGCTGCACGATATAAGACGCTGAAAAACAAGCAGAAGAAGAAGTCATCAGGGCGGCCGGCACCATCTTCTCCTCCTGCTCGTCCCGCTTCACCCTCGTCGTCTTCACGTTCATCTCCATCCTCATCATCTTCACCTGTATCGGTGTCTAAATTACTATCGGCTTCGATATCATCGTCATCAAAGCCAACGGCCACTCCCGCTCCTCGTTCACTTGAAAGTTCGGCCTCTGAGATTCGGTACTTCTTCGCCCTTGATTTGCGAAATTGTATCGATCTCCTCCCCCGCCTCATGGGCAGCATCGTCGAGGCCATGCAATTCCTTGGCCCTCGCTCATGTGCGCTCTCTATTGTAGAGGGGGACTCTCCCGACGGCACTGGAGACGTACTCGCTGCCCTGCGCCCCAGCCTCGAGGCAATGGGCGTCACTTACATCTACAACTCTTCGACCGTCAAGTCCGCCGAGGGTGATCGCATCGCCAAGCTCGCGAAGCTGCGCAACATGCCCCTGGAGCCCATTTTCGAGCAGTCAATTCCCATCGCTGACGACGCCAGCGTCGTCTTCCTCAACGACGTGGCCGCCTGCGCCGAAGACATTCTCGAGCTGATCCTGCAGAAGCAGGAGCTCAACGCCGACATGACCTGCGCCATGGACTGGACGTACCCCGGCGACGAGCCCAACTTTTACGACGTCTGGATCGCCCGCGGCATCAACGGCGACTCTTTCTTCCACATCCCGGCCAACGGAAACTGGGGTGAGGCGCAAAACCTCTTTTGGAACGCGCCGGACACGAGGTCCCGCTTTGATGAGCTGCGCCCCTTCCAGGTGTTTGCCTGCTGGAACGGCGCCACGGTCTTTAGCGCCAAGCCCATCGTTGAGGGCCTTCACTTCCGCACAAACTACCACAAGACGGGCGAGTGCTTCCAGGGCGAGCCGGTGCTGTTCTGCAAGGACATGTGGTGGCGCGGCTACGGCAAGATTGCGGTCGTGCCCAGCGTCAACCTCGAGTACACGGACAAGAACGGCAAGCGGATCAAGCAAGACAAGGGCTTCGTGTCGGATATCGTTGCGGAACAGGACCCGCGCGACGACTTGATTGATTGGACGGGGCCGCCGGATACCGTTCGATGCATGCCGACATGGAAGGACCAGTTTTTCCAGCGGTGGAACAAGAGTTTAACGGAATAAGATTTTAATTTTTTTTTTGTTTTATGATTTATTATCATGGGAAGGGGATAAACCCCGCAATGGCAAGTTTTGGACAAAGAGAAAAAAAATACGTGTAAATAATAAATAATGTACGCCGTTATTGTATTGTACTGGTTGGTTGGTTGGGCATATAGAGAGTCTCTTGGGGTTGTTCTTGGTTATATTAGCATTTTTTTTTCACACGACAAACAAGCCTGCATATTCTGCTTTGTTCAATCATTGCGTTTCAATAGTTGTACATATTATACATTTCATCAGACATTATTCTTCATTTTCCCAATCTTGATCCTCAACTCAATTGGTGGTTGATCGTCCGCCCTGGCCAACATTAGGGCCCTTCTTGATGCCCTGGCTCTGTCCACCGCTGGCGTTTGCGTCTTGCAGGCCGGCGCCCTTTTCATGAAAGCCCTCTGGCAGAGGCGCAGTCTTGTCCTTTGACTTCTAAACGAAGAGAGAATGTTCGTTAGTATACTTTTTTTTGAATAAGGTTTGTTTGATACATGTTGCTTGAATTCAAAAGTTGGGGTAAAGAAGAAGCAAGAAAATGACATGTGACGGGACATACATCTTCGTTGGTGACGCCGTGGGCAACGTTGTGAGTGGCTTCCTCAAAGGGGCCGTTGTCGCTTGAACCGTCTCCTTGGCGAGGCATGATTGTGTGTTTGTATATGAGAGTTGTATAAGGATTGTTGTGGAATGATTTGAATGTGCAGAGTGATTTTCTGATGAGGGGATGGAATTGTTTGGCTTTCTCTTTCTTATATCTTTCTGTCCATTGAAACTAAGTTATATTTGACGTCATGTGTACCAATGGTTCTTTAACGTAACCATGATGCCACTCTGTGGAGCTGATACTTTTCCATGCAGGCCTGCGATTTTCCCCCAATATCCACCGAAACCCCAGTGATCGTCTCACCTTAAAAAACAAAACGGCGCTCACCTTAGAAACAGCGTGGCGTTGCATCATCGATTATTGAGCGACGGCGAGAATCCATTTGTTGACATGTCGTCGGTTTTTCGGTCTTGGCACTGTTCGAAAGACGAAGAAACAAGCAATAACGTGACGTCAGCGCAAACGCAACATGCCTGTCTGGTTTGTCTTGGCATCTTTACCCTTTTTCCTTTTCTTTGCGCCGCTTAGACGGCTATTTGTTCCGAAAAGGGCCCTAAAGCGGCAATGGGTGAGGTGCTAGTTGTATGCTTAGCTATGCTTATTGCAACGCCAATAAAATAGGCGAGTGTCGATTTTTTTTGGTAGCTGGAATTAATGGGCATTGAGGTTGTGATTGAGACTCAATTGCCTTGAACTATTTCTGTTTCTTTTTTCGGACAAATAATTCTGGCGACGAATTTTCCAATCTTTGTCTTAATTTCTATTTCTATTTTTTCTTTTTATTCTTTAAAATATTTCAAGCTGCAGTGAATCGCCATCAACTTGCATCCGCTAATTGCTGTCTTGTTCAAGAGAGTGCTAATGGACTGTTATTCTATCCATTGCGCTGCAGTCGGCATCGAATATATCCATCCAACATCAAGGTCAAATTGAGAATTCAACATCAGTGAAATGAACCTTATAGATCGCGACTCAGATGGTGAATCACGCATTTGTTGAAAGGAATAAAAACCATGTCACAACCCAGATGTCCCAACCTCCGTTACCCCTTGCTGATTCTCCAATATCAGGATCGTAGAGCGCACAGAGATATTTCCATCTTCTTGTACATTTCGCATTTCTAGATCATGTCCAACCCATCATATATAGACAAAGCACTCAAACGAGTCCAAGACGGCGAAAGACGAGCCTACATGCGCCTTCGCACGCACCTCGGCCTCAGTCCCCTGCCGAGCAGACCATCGGCACCAGCCCCAGCATTATCAGCAGCGATGCCAGTAGAAGCTCCTCCCCCCATTCTAGCTCGTAATCTCGCTCGAGGACAACACTATACGGGCAATCATGACGATGCCGCATCATGTAATGTTCCTCTAAATGAGGCTGCCAATGTCGCAGAAAAGCGTACTACTAGCCGTGATAAAGAAGCACAAGCTTCCCGTGCAGACTATAAGGAAAATGTTGACGCAAAGGAGAAATCCAATGCCATAATGGACGACCTGTCCGATGCCATTGGCCAAGCACTAGACGAATGGAAGGATGCCTCGAATCACAAGTAGCTCATATCCCCTTTTTCTTGCTCTGCACACTGCTGCTGATATCTGCATGGGTTAACCAGCCCCATATTCCTTGCTTGCACACAGATGCGAGCAATCCATCTTGAAAAGCAAAAACAAATTACACCCTCTTACTTCCTCTTACACACTCTACCTCCCTTGAAAAGGTAGAGAACCAACAACCACCCTTCAACTCACTTAATCCAACGTCCCAGCCAACGCCACAGCACTAAACCGCAAATCCGCTCCCTCCCTCTCCAAAAACTTCAACACCCCCAGATTCAGCCCCTTCGCGCTCAGCACATCCTCATCGCTATTCAGAGGCCCTCTGTTGATGGGTCCCTTTCTCCGCCCGTCGAGCTCCCACAGATTACCATCGTTGCCCTTGACAAAGCACACGTAGTGCAGGTCCACGTCGTCGTGAGCGTCGGGAGCAGGAGTGTCTCCCTCGGTGGCGGCGGCCTTGTGCGCGTCGGCCAGGGCGGGCGTTTGCTCGATTACCTTTGCGCGGTCGGCGGGGTGGAGGGGGATGCTTCTTTTCACGATGTCGTCGAGTGTAGATCCCTCGGCTGTGATTATCATTGCTGTCAGCCAAAATGGTCTTGAAGCTTCAAGACAAGAACGACAACATACTGATAAACTCCCTCGCAGGCCCATTCGTCACCGCATGCAGTAGCCCCATCAGCCCACATGCATTTCGAATCGTCTGCTTCCACCATAGCACTGGTTCCTTGTCCCCCGTGCCGTTGTACTCGGTCGCCAGGCTGTCCTCTGCCATCCTGTGGCTCTCGTATACGGCTGATATGGGGAACACCAGTAGCAGCGCTAGGGCCGGGCGCGGGATAAAGGCGAGCATGTCTGGATCGGTCAGGGAGTAGACATCGTGCATCTGCAGCGCGGGCGACACGCCGAGCTTGTGGATGAGCGTCGTGAGCAGCTGAGGATTGGCTTCGAGGGGGATGAAGGCCGGCGCGGTGGCGGCGGGATCGGGATTTGTGTTGGACGACATGGCGGCAGCAGCTGTGCGTGTGATGTCAGTGGTGTCTCTAGTATCGGCCTGATATTGTATCCAACTGGGTATGTATCTATGAGATGGCGAAAGCTCAGAGTCGGCAACCAGCGCTGGAGCTGTATTTCGTATAGTGAGAGCATTGCGGGGTGGCGGGACACTAAGCCGCGGCCTGATGACGTCGGCACGCGCTAATGGAGATGATGAGGCGCTAGAACAGCTGCTAGAAGCAAGCTCCAAGCTCCAGCTCAGAGAGCTTGATGTGCCTATGCCGGTATAAAGGACCCAATAGCACAGTAAGGCGAGACACGCATGAGCTATATTGTTGTACGTAGATAAATGCTTCATCTGATCTTCAGAAACGTTTTCACTGACAACAAGAATTCCATTGACGGCTTGTATATTGCTAGTAATAGCAAGACAACCCGCGCAAGCTAGCAGCCTATGCATACAAGTCTCATTCCCGTCTCCCATGTATCAAAGCAGCCTCCCCCTTCTCATAATTAGAGTCGTTTTTAGAAAAAACCAGAAACTAGATACGAGGAATGATAAAGCATCTCCCTCCAAACGTCAGCCTCCACCATATTGCCTTCAAATCATCCGGTATAACATCCTGTCAATCAAAAAAAGCATTGCCTTCTCAGCATAATCGTAATTTCCACCGTCTCGTACATTTGCCGAAAAAAGGAGTTCTTCATGTAGCAGCAATAAGCTATTTCAGTTCGCTGCGACGTCAGATTTGCGAGGACGACCTCTTCCCCTCGCCTTGGGCGTCGCCTTCGCCTCTTCCTCGGGGGCAGCTTTCGCGGCTGGGGCGCTCGATTTGCGTCCCCTCTTCGCAGCGGGCTTGGTGGCCTCCTCGTCCTTATCGCCAGACTGGGACATGGATGCGCGCTTGCGGCCCCTAGGGGCAGGTGCTGGAGCAGCCTTCTCAGCGCCTTCATCTTCATCTGGAGTTCCAGTTTCAGTCTTAGTCTTGGAGGCCGATGCCTTTCGCCCGCGTGCAGTTTTGGCAGGAGCAACCTCTTCCTTCTCCTGACTCTCATCCTCATCCACCGTCTCCTCCTCTTCGGACTTGACAGGCTTTGCCTTTGCGCCTCTCTTGGCGAGCTTCTTGGTCGTAACAGGCTCTTCAGCGTCTCCTTCACTTGCGCTCTTAGCTTTAGCCTTGGACTTGGACTTGGCCTTGGCCTTGGGTTCCTCCTCGTCTGCCTCGACCTTCTTGGACTTCCCAGCTTTCTTGGCCTTGGGCTCATCAACATTGTTGGCGGCCTTCTTGCGACCTCCCTTACCAGACTTTTTGGCGGGAGCTTCGTCTGAATCGGCAGCCTACAAAGTGTGAACAACAGCAATCGTTATACATGTTGGACTCGAACATACCTCCGCCGCGGCCTTCTCCTTGGCAGCTTTCTGTTTGGCGCTAAGGAAGATGCCCTTTTCACCTAGCTTGTTCTTCTCCGGGTCCTACAGGCTGTCAGATCATGGGAGCGTGATACAAAACGTAAAAGGCAATAGAGACTTACGCCCTTGAAGTCTTCGGGATCAATGTGGCCTTGCTTGACGCAGCGCTGGATCTTCTCCTTGATCTCGTCATCCCTACAAGTCATATTAGCCCCCGTTCATTGCGCCCGTGATGTTGTGTGAACCACAGCCGTTACTCACTCTAGTTCGTCATAGCCGTCAATGGCATCAAAGTCGTAATTGTCGGGGTCTCCGCCGCACGATTCCTGGAGACCGGCAATTTGACGACCAGACACACATCCCCTGAATCATGACTGCCCGGTTAGGAGTCTATAAAAATAAAAGTTCACGTCAAGAGTAGCGCACCAGTGCTTCCAGGACCAAGATCCATGCTCTTTGATCTCAACCCAACTACCGAATCTGATTTCGCCCTTTAGGATCTTGACGGCATCTTTCTTGCACGCGGCCTCATGACAGCCAGCACGATTGTTGGGCGAGATTTCTAAAGGATGGGGCATCGAACTTAGCATTGGCTTGCGCATATGATGCAAGGTTACAGCGCCCCAGAAACTACCATGTATGGGTGGCAAAGCAGGAAACGAGGGAGGAATGGAAACAAGTACCAAGAGCACTACAAGAAACAGCATAAAATTGACATACCGATACGATACTGAGGCATTTTTGCCGTAAGACGGATATCGTCTGAGTGCGTTGAATATTATGAGGTGAAGAGAAGAGAATATCAATAGCAACGGCGTTTCCCGCAAAATGTCAGTCAGGCCAGAATGCGAGTGATGATGCGAGCACCAAAAAAGTCGGTGGCTAGCCCGTGCCCCAGCTGCGCTATAGGGCAAATATACAGCGGTCGCGGCAAACGAGGAAAAGAATCAAAGCGATTAAAACGGTATAATAAATTGAATAAGAGGCTGCACACGTAATAGAATTGCCTGAGACTGTTATAAGAACAACTGCGAAAGCAAGAAATATTTTCTGATGCTGAGCTGAAGAGAAAAGTGAAAAGGAAAAGACGGGGAAGGCTGCCTGTTATCTGAAATATTATGGGGGGTAGCGCGTCGCGTCCCAGAAAAAAAAAAGGAACTTGGCAGGCAGGCAGGCAGCTTTGACTTCAGCTCGCTTCCAGCGCTGCACACCACCAGTGAAACAGTTGATGCAACATCAGGCCTCTTTGCAACGGCACAGTATATTGACCGGTGAAAAGGGGTGAATATACAGAGATAAAAGAGAAATTGAATGAATTTTAGAAATCAAGATGAATAAGATTGAAACAAGAGGAAAGTAATTTATTCTGGTGTAAGCTGCACGTTGTAATTCCAGGTCTAAGGGGCTGAAAGATTGAGTGACTCTACCACAGCGCATTCGCTAATTAAATCACCGGTGACAGCTCATAGTGACAACCTGAATTGCTCCAAAAGAATACCAGACAAAACATGAACAAAAGAAGTGCTTTATTTACATGTTGCCAAAAATTACATGTTTGCTTCTCCCTTTTCATATCCGATATCAAGATAAATTTCTTATCAAGTCATACATACACCAAAAAAAGATCACCTAGCAATTCATCTGCCTGCTTCACAGAAACGGGCACCATCCAATGTACATGGCTGCCAAATTCCTTGGGTTGACCGCCTGCTTTATCAGCTCCTCCACTTGTCCCTCGACGCTCAGGGGAATGCTCTCGTTCGGCAACAGTCCCTTGACCTTCCTCTTGATGCTGTCCACCACACTCTGCGGCTGCAGTCTCACTCCGACATCTCTCTTCGACTTTCCCTTGTCCTTTTGCAAGTCTAGCGTGGGATCATAGATGAACGCCTCCAATATGGTCACCAGTGTTTCCTCCTGCTGTCGGAGAATGCTCAATGTCAACTCAGACGATTTTCGAAAAGGGCCTTCGTAGCCGTAGATGCCCATTGCTGCAACCATGTTGTGAGTCAAGCGGAAGGGAACACGCTCGGGCTTTTGGAAAGTGAGGCCCTTGTCAAACAGGCAGTTAAAATCAACGTGAAATATCCCTCCACTGCCCTCTTCCAAGTTTACGTTCTCTCCGTGTCGATCTCCTAGCCCGAGGATTGTGCCAACCATGGACATGACAGCACATGACCGCGTGTATCTTAGGCGTGCGCTGAACCAAGCTGAAGGATTGGGGAATTGCTGGATAAACCACAACGGAAGTACGGGAGGGAATCGTCCTAAAACGTCATTCGTAAACAGGCCAATCTTGCTTTCAGACGTCGATGCTTCCTCCATCAGCTGTCTAAGAGAGTTATAGTCTGGATGTATCTTCTGTGAGGCGTAGAGACCGATTAAAATATCTCGCATCGTCTTAATTCCTGGCACCCATTCAATGATACCACACTCTTCATTGAGGGGCACGACGGCGTAGGTCCGTATATATAGCTGTCGCTTACTAGATTCTGCGTCTCGCTTTAGCGAACGGTTGATAATTCCGTTGAACTCCATTAGTCGCTGGTCTGTGCGAAGGTCGTCCTTTGGTTTGATGAGCAGCATGTAAGAC